GAAGTAAAGTTTACAGTGCCACAGGTCTCATTTAAGCTGCTTATCTGCAGTAAAACAGCAACCAATGTTTAACCCAGGGATGGTAAGTGTCCAGGTTGAATTCTGTCCAAATAGAAAGTTTATTGAAACATAATATCATTTTCATTAATGCTTCCCTTATGGACTAATTGACAATAAAAACTGATTAAGTTTATAAGTTAGTTTCCTCTGAGCTGTTCATTCAATCTAGTATATTAGATGGTCAGAGAGGGTTTTTGAATTATGCTGACATGGTAAGAGTACATGCACAAAAGGTGTGAATATATGAATACATTTGTACACTTTCACAAACCTTGGTAGACCTTCCAGAATGCAAAGCTATTTGTTGGTGAGTTAGAGGTACACTAGTTGAAATTTAAGACAATAAAATTACTTGTATTTCCACATCACATATCAATTATACAGCAAAAATGCCCATGGAAATTCTTTAAAGAGATACTAATCTCAGCAATAGAGAAGACCAGTTAAAGTTGTTCTGACTGATAGAGGGCTATTAAAAGACTAAAAGATTAGTAGTGATGGAACTATAGGGCACAACATTCCATTCCCCAAAAGGCCAAAGGCTGACTTGTTACATGTAACTTCCAAAATACGTGTACCTCTTCAGGAAACTTAGAATTAATATTCAGATGCTCTGTAGTTACATGTTCCCTTGTATGTTCACATCATTAGTAAATCCCTCCAAACTGCAATGCATGTTTCTGCATTTCTGAAATTTTATCCTTGAAGTCACCTAAAGTGTAATCAATTATGTGAACAAATGAAACAAGCATTCTTTCATTGCATTCTAAATGGGAGGAAGAGAAAAAGAAAGTGTGTGTGTGTGTGTGTGTGTGTGTGTTTGTGTGTGCACATGCACACACACGGTTGGGAAACGTCTGGAACCCTAGCATTCAGGAGACAGAGACAAGAGAGTCATCATCACATTTGAGGCAAGATTGGTTTATGTAAGAAATTCCAGAGAAGCCAGGGCTATATAAAGAGACCCTGCCTCAACTACGAACCCAAACCAAATCAAAGCAAAAACCCTAGGCAATGAAAACGAGCATACCAGAGAGTTACCGCAGGTTGGCACCAATGACAGAAGAAAATAAGCAATTCTAATCAGTTCTAGCTCTGTGAAACAGTGAGTACAGCTAGGATTATTTACAGGAGCTTTGTGACGGATTACTCACAGCAGTATGGAAAACCTATGATCACCGAAAAATCAATCTCCCCACAACCTCTTTGAGGAAGGGTTTGGATAGTGAATCCCTCCTAGCAGCCTTTATCTTCAGTCTTCCCTCCTGGTACCTATTAGCTGTCTCGAATCTTGGGATCCCATTCACTTTTTTTGTGATGGAAAGTTAATGGGTCTCTGCAGCTGATCATGGCATCTGATAATTCAAGCCCACAATGGTTCTATTATGCCGGAATACAATTTTCCTTCTACAATGCTCTGTCCCTTTCTCTGATTATTACAGTCTTTCCTTCTGGGATATCTCCTCAGCTGTGGATGGAGAGATAAAGATGTAGGGACGAATGTTCAGTGTTTTTGTGAGGGTCTGGAGAGGGTGGGCATGCACATGCCACAATACATGTGTGGAGATCAGAGACAGTCTTGAATGTGGATCCCTTGCTGTCAAGCTTCTTTGAGCCTAGGTCTCTGCTATTTCCTGCTACTTAGACAGACTAGCTAGTCTGTGAGAGCTAGAGATTCTCCCATCTCTAGCTCAGTTCTCACTATAGACTCACACTTAGCATACCTGGTTTTACATAGGTTCCAGGCATTTGAAATCAGGTATTATGCTGCATACAGTTGACCCACTGAACCATCTTTCTACTCTAGGGAAACTCTCAGAGTGAGATTCTGGTTCAGCTCTAGCAGGTATGCATGGCTGGACTAGAGAGTTAGCCTAGCAAGCCATTCATGCCCACCTGCTGTGTGGAGAGCAGGAAGAGTTGATTGTGTGCTTATCTGAAAGTTGAGTAAAGAAAACAGTTCAGGTGGGAGCAAGGACTGATGCCAGGTTCCATTCTGAACCTGACCTGAATCCTAAGCAGCCTTCCCATCGGTCTGGCTCCTTCTCTAAACAATCCCCTAGACACCTTGTTCGTCAGCATAGGTGGAGACTCATTACTCTGTCTCCCCCCCCCCATGTTTCATGAACACATGTGTGTACTGTAGCTTATGCAAGCATCTTTGTGCCGTGGTTATCTTCAATATGAAAATCTAGAGGTCACACCTGCATGACTAATTTTATTTCTTTTTGTACTCCTATAATTCTCATCCAAAAAAAAAAATAAATAAATAAACACACAAACATACATCCATCAGGCGTAGTGGCTCTCATTTTTAATCCTGGGACTTGGGGTGTTGTAGCAGGAAAACAGATGGCAAATGTTCAGCAACTGCTGATTCCTACAGCCTGGAGTACATAGACCCAATTAATAATGAAATAAAGGAGGGAGGTTATAAAGTACATGGGTAGCAGGGAGGAGAGAGAGGAGAAAACAGAATCAATAGACCCTTGATTTGTGGAGAATTACTACTTTTTATGATGACCACAAATCTCAATTTTCATAGAATTTCATAGTTTAAATTCTTTCTTAACTGGGCAGTGAGCAACAAAGCCTTGCCATTTATTTGGAGTATTTTGGCATCTCTCAGGATGGCTTCGTTTTGCCATGAAAGCAACTAGGGGAGAGTTTATCTTAGCTCACAATTCTAAGTTACTGTCCATCACTTTAGGGAAGAACCAGGAGCTGGAGGTGCAGAGAGCTCTACTACGTCTTCAGTCAGAAGGAAGTGAAGACGCTTGCTTGCCAGTACTCAGCTAACTCTTCGCTTTGAAATGTTGTCACTCGTGCTAGGCTGAGACTTCCCACATCAATCAGTGTAATCAAGAGGATATTTCTCAGACATGCCCACCTGACATAGACAGCCCCTCATTGAAACTCCTTCCTTAGTTGATTCTACAGTGTGCCAAGTTGACGATTAAAATCAAGTATTATAGGACACAGGCAGTTAATGGCTTCAAATTGGGTATGTTTCAATTCTTATGAAGAACAAATGAATTCTAGAATGTTTTCTTTTTTTAACTTTAATGGCTAATGATGCATGATTTAAAATAAGCATAGATGTCTATGAAGGCATTGCTGTTTGGTTTTGTGTATTTATTTACTTATTTTTTTGGTGTGTGTGTGTGTGTTGCATGTGTGTGTGTTTGGTTTTTGCCCTCAACCGTGTTGAGGCTGTGTCCTTGTTCCTGTTTCTGTTGCCATATTGCATCTTAGTTCACAGTAGTTGAACCATCAGCTTCATCCTTGAGATGCTTCTGACTGCATCCTCACCATAGGAATACCAGAATTACAGGTGAGGACCACATCATCTAGCCTGGACAGGTTTATGTGGCAAGTGCTTTGACCAGCCAAGACCCCTCTATTGCTATTAAGTATTTTGTTCAGTTTATTATTTATTTAGTATCATTTATTTTAGTATTTTTAGTATTTTGTAATACATTATAACACATCCATCAGCATAAAACATTTTTATATCAAATCTATCCAATTTTAAAAGTAATTTAGGTTCTTTATGTTATAATTCTTTGACTTCATACACATTTTTCAGAGAATTTTGGTAGTTTTCACTTCCCTTTATGCTCTCTAACCCCCTCCTTCTCTTGGTTAGGAAATGAATTAAGACCTACAAAAAGTCAAGTGTCAAATTGGATAATGGTGTGTATATGTATTACATATTATATAACATGAATATATTCACCACATTCTGTAAATGTAGTTAAGGAATAATGAATAATGAACTGTTTCAATAAGTATTAAACTAGCCCTCACATTTTAGAGGAGGATGTAAAAATTGAAAAGTTCACAGATGTCTTAGAACTCCAGTTCATGTGAGTGTTAAGGAACTTATTTTTTCCCAGTAAATATACAAGCAAGAATTCTTTTACAGGTTTGGGGTGCAGTAAACTCAGATTCTTTGGCCTGAAGCTGTTATAGACATAACCTACCTAGTGAGTTAAAGGTTCAAATATATATATATATATATGAATGAAAACCAATAATAATGAACACCAAAACCAACAGAGACTGTTTCTTGCATATTTGGAGCAGCTAGAGCACCATAGGTATAAGTATTTAGTCTTCCCAGGTGACTGTAACAAGAGTGGCTATTCCTACTCTAGAAGTCTACAGATGTGTCTTCACCTGTGCAGAACTGACTATGCTTACTTGTAGAAAATAAAGTAGCAGTAGCATTTCTTCCAAACTCATTTCTCATGATGTAATAAACTAACGGGACACTTACATGATCAGTGTGACACTAAATATTATGTAGGAGAAAGCCCTTGATTCTCTTAAAAATAAAAGTGAAGCTGCTCACGGTGACTGACACTTATAATCGTAGTATTCAAGAGGCTGGGGCATAAATTTGAGGCCAGTTTGGGGGTACATAGTGAGTTCTAGCCCAACCTGGGCTTCAGAATAAGTACCTGTCTCAAAAGTAAAGAAATAATAAAGAAATAAGGAGCAAACCAAAAGTACAATTAAGTGGTGATCCTATCAAATGTATACAGGAAGGCTTTAGAGCATGACACCAGAAACTGCTCTTACTCTCCCTTAATTTCTCTTTGGAAATGTCTCACTCCTCACTTTTGGGATTCCCAGACTGGCCTAAGAAAGATTCAGCAAAGCCTGGCTGTTACACTGATCTTTTCAGAGTTGACCCTTATTTTAGTCATTTAAGTAAAATTCCATGGGGGGGGGACTCAAGGGACCACAGATGGGAAATGCAAAAGTGACAAGTGTCTTTCCTACCTGCTTTGCTGAGCAGAGTAGAGCCTTTTTTTTTTTTTTTTTTTTTTTTTTTTTTTTTTTTAAATAGCCCTGCTCAGATTTTGGTAGCTTTCTGAGCCTCTGGTACTCTCCAGCTGACTGAGTCTGTCTTCTTCTCCCTTGCCTTGCAGGAACATTTTCAGATGTGTCTGTGTTCCCAGAAAGCCAAGCAGCGAAGAGGGAGGCCCAGAAAGAAACTGGTATTTCCTCTCCTTCCTGCTTTGGTCTGCTTTTTAAAGTTTTGTTTGCCCTCCCAAATGGCCTCTTGAATGAGAGCCCCCAAAACGGTGGGTCCATTCAGAGCAGTCCTGTGTGTCCTGTATATTCCAGAAGCCACCCAGTCTTGCAAATGCACAGTTATGACGAAAGCAGGGCTTCTGGAAGTCTGCTTTGCTTCATAGCATGGATTGAAACATCACACTTTGACCAGAAAATTCCCACCAAAGCAGCACAACTTGCCCTCTCTGTATATCCATCTTATAACCTCCGGTGTTTACATTATTAAAACTTACCGGAGGAGGGGAATGGCCTCCCGATGGTTTAAAGGATTAAAATTGAGCTTTTAATTTTATTACCCATCTAAATATATATGGTAATGGTGATGGCAAAAGGAGCCCTGATCCCGAATAGGCTTCCTACCCAAACACTTTTCTTAACTTAAGAGCTCTGATTTTAAGTGCATGGATACCTTTGGGGGCAGGTGTGTGGAATGTACATGGCACATTACTGTGGCATGGTTCCATTGGGTCTTTTTTTCATATATAATATATACATATGACTTTTTCATAATTCTATCCAAGTGTGGCATGTTTCTACTATGTACATGAAACATTTCTGAATCATTTTGGTTCAGAATTGTTAAATACAATATATTAAAAGCTAACGTTGAATCAGCAGACAGAAAATAGGATAAACATGGTGTCACTGTCCAGTTCAAAGCTTTATTAATTTGTGTCCAGAGTCTTCCAGTATTATTAATGGTGATCATGTTGAAAATATGCAGTCTTGCCCAGTGCCTCTGAGGCCTTGACCTGGTCTTTATGGCCTCCTCATTCTGGATTCTGCCTGTGTTTTACTTTAGTTTTTGTTCTGTCCCATTGGGTACCACTATTTTAGGTAAGCGGTCTGCTTATTAGGGCAGTAGTGTGTGTGCTTTTAAAAATCTATGCTTCCTGATGCTTTTTTTTAACCTGTCAAATTCCTGCTGTGTTCGTGTGTAAATAATGTCCCCCCCTTTTAGTTTGATATGTTTGTCAATTATATCATCTCTGAAATCTCTTCTGAAATAACTCCAATTTTCAAATCTCCAAATAAGTATTACATTATGTTGAAATGTCATTCAAGCAAAAATGACTCTACCTACAGGATATCTGAGAATGGTTTGCTTTGAATCCCAAGTACTACTTTTGGCACAATTCCATAACCCTATTATTCAGTAAGTCATTGTTCATTAAATGATAAATTTTTCTTCTTTGTTCCAAATACATGATGTAATTAACATCTCCTGGGGTATACAGATGTTAGCATTTATAGTTTTATTTTAGTTAAGCACATGACAGATGTATTTGAAATATGGATTTGGGAGGTGTATAATTATTTAAAACCCTAGAGCATTTTGTATAATCTAATATTTGACCTCCCTATTTAGTCATTACCCATTATTTTTTTTTAATTGTTTTTGTTTAGTTCTTAGGCAGTCTCGCTGCTTAAAATGATAAAACAATCAAACAAACAAAGAACAAATAAAACAAAAGATCAGAAACCAAACAACATAAAACACTCCACGGGGAACTCTGGGATATCTGTGTTTTATATTTATTAGTATTTTAAACTTGAAGAGTTGTTGCCTCCAAACTAATGTGGTATTAAAAGGGTTAAATGTGAGGCTTAACTGGAAAGCTGCAGGTCACAGAAGGCTTCAAGAATACTGCCAGTAAATTTTACCTACAAGTTTCTACTGTGAGCACTGTTCACTGTTACTAATCAAAAGATATACTTTCATTTAGCAACCCTTAGGTGGTTGTAGATCCCAGGGAGAACAGTTGCCAAGTTTTGCAATGCCTTCCTTGGGTTTGACTCCCAGTACTACGAAGTAAAACTTCAAGTATGGGCTGGCGCTCTTTTTCTCTAGGTAGCAGCACTAACTCAGACCCTCTCTCACTTTTCTTCCTTCTCTTTTCAAACTTGAGTCTGGATGTAGCGAAATAAGTGTTGGAAGAAATACAAGAATAACCCTGGGTGTACCTCCCGTTTTCCTGGTAATCAGTTTCAGCATTTCAGGCAGAGTAGCAAACTGCAGAATAAAAAGTCGGCACAGGGGCTCAGTGCATACATTCGTCAACTTCAAGTCAGACTATTTTTTCTCTTTTAATATTTTAAATGTATTGCCGGGAATTCTAAAAGACACTTACAACACAATAACATCTTCATTGTTGCCCTGGGGGGAATCTTTGTTTTAAAAGGCAAAAAAAAAAAATTGCATTCTTATATCATTAAGATGAGCATAAATAAAGTTATTGAGTAGAGCTGTGTTGGCAGAAGCTGTAGACTCAGCTTGTACTTGAGCTTTACTCAGAGTAGGAGTAGCATCCTGATTTGGTGCTTTAAGTCTCTCAACAGACTGTGGCAGTGGGGTGGTTTCTTATGATGAGTAGTATTTAAACTTATGCTGTTAAACTATTTTAAAACATGCAGAGGCATTTATTTGTCTGGGTTTGTTCTGTCCATATCTTAATAATATTCCATATTTTATTAAAAGCTAAAAACCGAGGCAATTCTGATCCCATGACACAACCATAAATTCCCACATATCTGATTCTTTGTTTAGTCTAGCTTTGCTTTTTATTTACCTGTTTATATGTGACCAACTGCATGATTCCTCATAGTCTTTGCCTTATGATTTTTTCTTATTATGTCCTCCTTTTTCTCCCACCCCATTCTTTCCAAAACCACAGAGAACATTTGGCTTGTTATCACATTAAAAACAGCAAACAAGGCTGGCGAGATGGCTCAGCAGTTAAAAGTACTGGCCACTTTTTCAGAGGACCCAGAATTGAACACAAGAACTCACATGTCTAAGCACAACTATCTATGACTCAAGTCTCAGGGCATCTGATGTCCTCTCCTGGCCTCTTAGGGCATCTGGCACACATGTGATGCACAGACATACATGCAAACAAACACACATATAAAATGATAAAATAAAATTTAAAACACAGAAAACAGCAGGGAAAAGTGTATTTTATTCATATAAGAATCTGAAATGCAAGTTCAAGTACATTCGGACCCAGTGAATGTTGCTATATTATTGTAAATTCAGGGGAAGCGGATGGTTAGGAAGGTCAAGGCCACTCTGAACTGCAGAGAGAGATCCTGTTGTAGAAGAAGAGGAGGAGGATGAGGATGAAGAGGAACAAAGTTAAACTAGTTCAAGTACACTTTGTTTATTGGAAAGGCAAAGGAGCCGTGAGGATGGTAATAAGGAAATACACTTTTGCAATAGGGGAAGGTTAACCATAAAGCATACCAAAGTTTGTGTGCCTCAAAGCAATAGTAAATAATTTTTCCCTGTAAAACCAGCTAAGAATCAGATCAGAAACAAAAGCAACAGCAGCAAGATGATACAGTGCCGGGCTCCCACCTGCCCCTTGCCTTGGAGATGAAATTCTCCAACCTCCGCCTTCACAAAACAATCTCCTGTGTGTGTCTTCACACCATCTTCTCTCTATATATATCTGTTGCCTCCGTGGCTAAATTTATCCCCTCTTTAACAGCCATAATGGATTAAAACCCATTCCAGCACTCACATTTATCCTGATTAGTCTACAAAGGCTACACTTTCAAGGAATACTCTATTCGCTACTGCAGGGTAGAATCCTAGCAAACTTTCTCGGGGGGCGGGGGGAGCGCTAGTACAATGCATGACACCGTAAGGTAAGGGAGACAAAGCCTAAGCTACTTTATTCCAGTAAAGAATCCCTGGGAACAAGAGCGAAGCCCAGTCCTCGGTTATCCTGCAGCCGTATGTACTTATAAACTCCCACCGGTCCTGGTGGAGGGAATATTGATTCCCTGACTTCATAACTATTCTGCACTTCAGGCAAACAGTCTTGAAAGGGTAGAGAAAGCTATGAGACAAAGACGTGCAAAGTGCTGGTGGGAGGTGGAAATTATAGGCCACGCTTACGTTTTTTCTCTAATTTTTTTTTTAAAAAAAAATCTTATTTTACATACCAGTCTCTGTTCCTTCTCCCTCCAGACCTCCCACTCCCCTCACCGTCTCCCCATCACCTCCCATGCACTCCTCAGAGAGGGTGAGGCTCCCAATGGGAAACCTTCAAAGTCTGTCACATCATTTGGGACAGGACAGGATAGAGTCATTCCCCCGAATCTGAGCATGGTTGCCCTCCAAGGGAATGGGATCCAAAAAGGCAGTTCATGCACTGGGGATAAAGTGTGGTTCTACTGCCCGTGGCCCCATAGACTGCCCAAGTCCTGCAACTGACACCCACATTCTTATGCAAGTCCCCCAGCTGTCTGCTACCTGATGAAAGCCCTATGATAGCATTTAAGGCAGTCATCAATCTCATTATAGGGGAAGGCATTTAAGGTAGCCTCTCCACCATTGCTTAGATTCATAGTTGGGGTCGTCCTTGTGGATCCCTGGGAATTTGCCTAGTGTTGCCCAGGCCACAAACCATCCTGGGCCACACTGAATTAAAAGGAAGGAAGTATGAAAGGTATGAAAGTAGTGTCTGTGATAGCACCTATAGCAATAAGTAAAGCTTGGAACTTAGCTGCCAAAGGTCAGTACAAAAGCATGTGGGCGAAACTGTGCTCAACACACACAGGCTTGGGCTGGAGAGATGGCTCAGTGGTTAAGAGCATTTGCTGCTCTTGGAGAGGACAAGAGTTCAGTTCCCAGCACTGAAGTCAGGGGGCTCACAGTGACCTGAAACTTGAGCTCTTTTCTGGCCTTCGTGGCCACGTGCACATTTTTAACGTGTGATTATATAATTGAGGCATTGACTATTTCTCAGATATCATCTTTGTATTCTTTCTAATTGGCTTCATTTTTGATATCTAAAATCAGGATGGTTTTCTTTGAATGATATAACAAATGGTGAAGAACAGAATTTATTATCTCTATGGAAATATATATATATATATACATACATACATATATATATATATATATATA